AATCGATTAATCAAAAATAATCAATTAATTAAAAAGTCGATTAACTGATAAATCGATTTAAAAAAAACAGAATGATCGATTATTTTAAATAATTGATTATTTTCGATCAATCGATTATTATCAATAATCTATTTTTATTGTATTTCCTTTAAAATCGTTAATTCGATTGTCTTTGAAATACCGAAAATAATCGATAATTCCAAAATAATCGCCTAATCGAAAATAATCAATTAATTAAGAAGCCGATTCTATGATAAATCGATTATTACCAATAATCTATTTTATTGTATTTAAAAAATATTCGATTAATTAAAAAGTCGATTAACTGACAAATCGATTTTCAAAAAAAACAGAATAATCGATTATTTTAAATAATCGATTATTTTCGATCAATCGATTATTATCAATAATCTATTTTTATTGTATTTCCTTTAAAATCGATAATTTGTTTTCTTTGAAATACCAAAAATAATAAATAATTCCAAAATAATCGCCTAATCGAAAATAACCAATTAATTAAGAAGCCGATTCTCATATTTCCTTTGAAATTGATTATTCGATTATCGAAAATAATTGATTATTAAAAAGCTGATTATCCAATAAATCGATAATTTTAAAAAAATAACCAAAATATCGATTATGTAAAATAACCGATTATATTCAATCGATTATTTTCATATAATATCTTTGAAAAATCGAAAATAATCAAATAATTAAAAAACCGATTAAACGATAAATCGATAATTTTGAATAAATGTACTTTTTCTGTATTTCCTTTAAAATCGATTAATAAATTATCTTAAAAAAAACGAAAATAATTTATTAAAAACAGCGGATAAATCGATTTTCATTAAAAAATATCAGAATTATCGATAAATCGATTATTTTTGTAACCCCTATCGGTCGCTTGCTTTTATCTGAGCATTTAGTTCCAAAATTTAGAGATTCGGATTTTTTGATCCAGTTATCTTTGAAATCGCATTCGCTTGTATAATAAATAAATATTGCTAAATTTTGGATTTTTTAGTAAACGAAAATTATGTTCGAGTTGTTTAGAGGTTTGTAATGTAACATTTTATTAACGTGACTAAGGATTGATTCCACCGTTGTGTTAAACGAAGTTTAAAATGACATTTTTACATTAACACTGTCATTTTAATCTCCGTTTAACACAACGGTGGAATCGGACCTAACTCCTGTAACTTTAGTATTTTTTTTTTTTGTTTATACAAGATTACTTTGTTTTAAGACTGAAAATTCAATGTCACTTTCGATTTGACCGCAAATAAGATGAACCTTGAAATTTTAAGTAGGTCATCCTGTATTTCATCTAATATTCTTATAAAAATACCTTATAAAAATACCTTATAAAAATACCTTATAAAAATAAAATTTAGCTAGCAACTATGATTCTTTACCTCTTATTTATCTACCAAAAAGGGCTAAAAACTACCTTTAGAAAACATTCTTATAAAACTACTATTTAAATACAAAATTTCGTTAGCAATAATGCCTATTTACTATTTATTTAAATTAAATGTTCAAAATTTTACCCTTTTGTAAATTTATGTAAGTAATATGAAATCTGATGCTTAATATTTATTGAAACCCCTTAATGCGGATCTGAAGTATTCAGCCCAGAGAATCATGGCGCTTTATGTCAAAACGTTAATAAATATTTACCGCTGAAAACGAATATATTCATAACAGTAGTACTTGTATTATAAGTGCATACAATTTTTCAAGATACATCGTGACATTTTGAACTTGAAATTGAATAACTAGAACACTTTAAATTGCTAAAATACCAACAAATAAATCAAAAAACAGCTGTCAATGGTGATTAAACTCAGGTGGAGGTGTGATCGCTGAATGGAAATCGGAGCAATTCGGGTGGCGTCGTGCAACAATGATTTTCAATTGGTGGGTTACTTTGGCTTAAAATAGACAGCATGCGCAGTGTGCAATGTTACATCTTCGGTCTCTTTAATCTAAGGTAACTACATACCCTCAATATTTCTAAATTCTAATCTAGTAGGCACTTGTCAAATTTTTAATAGTTCGTGTATTTGACACGATCTTGGTAGATGAATTTTAAAAATATTTAAAGTCGTTTTTGATTTATAACAAATTTTGAATTTTAATTTTAAACTTTTGACACCCTGTGTCTCGGTAACCGTTTAAATGTTTAAGTTCTTATATAAAAATTTATTAATTAACGAGAGCTCTCTGGGGTATTAATAAAACATACTTTTTTTAATACTTTAATAGTATAGTAATTTTATAATGGTTCTATTTTTGTTTTTTTTTTGCTCACTTTTAATAATAATAATAATTAATACATACATGTAATTAAATTTGATAATTAGCTATTGTTTGTTTTATGCAGGAGTTATTTGTTAATTTTTTATTTCAATTTGTCTGAAATCGCTAAGCCTGTATAAATAGGTCATGGCATAACAGGTGTGGATTAACTTTCGCGGTAAAATGATACATAATAATTTAATCGTTCTAATCTTTTATCTGGATATCTATAAGCGTTTCGGCCGTTATCCTTATTTGATGTCATCAATTATACAGGGTTTGTAATTGCTCGATATTTCAATTTGTGTTATAGACGCACAAACAAGTTTCAAATAAAAGTTTCATGGATTTGAAAAAAAATATATTTTTAAAGTATTTTTAAATATACAAGGTGTTACGTTTTTGCCTGGCAAATAAAAATGTATTTTATTTCAATTTTAGAATGATCTGGTAATACTGTATTCAAAGAATGTTTTTAAAAAATATTACATGGTTGCCAAGCATTTAATTTTTTTTGTGAAATTAGGGAATGATGCAGACCCCAAATTAAATTATCATAATTGTTTAAAATACAGACTTATAAGATACCAAGCTAACGAATAGTGGTGATAGAACTGATTCATTTTATACAGAGTGTTTTAAAATGTCTTAAATATGGCTAATTTTAAGTTCAATTTACTAAATTTTTTCAAATCCAACACCCTGTATATTATTTTAGCATAAAATTCCTTACAAATTTACCTATCTAACAATAGCAATTATACATATACAGGGAATCCCATCAGTTTTTATTATTGGAAAAACGAAGAAATTTTTAATATAAATGTTGTATTTATTTATTTAACAATTTTTCTTAAATATACAGGGTGATTCATACACGACGGGCAGACCAAACTTATAATTTTTTAAAGCAAACACTCTGTAGGTAGTTACACATATTTGATTGTTTTCACATCGTTAAACAATTTTAATAGACCATTAATTTGCTATGATGTATACAGAGTGTGTCAAAAGTCAAAGTTACGATTTTCTTAATTTTTTAAATGGAATACCTTGTATGTTATACCACCAATTAATTTCCAATTTTATTTTCTTTGAATTCCTTATACCAAAACACATTTTTGTGACGTCGGGAGAACAGAAAACCATTCATTATTTTTGAAAAATGGGTTAACAAAAATGTTAGGCGTTTGTTCTTTTGTTTTTGTCATAAAGTTTTACTTGTAATTATCTAGATGCTTCAAACTCCTAAGGTGCCTATCAACTTAGGAGGATGCACAAATATCGTAATCTCGCATTTAGGCCGAAAACATTTTAGGAATTTTAAGTCTATTAAAATTGTTTAACAATGTGAGAACAAGAGAGCTTGTTGAAATTTTTGACTGCCTGTATGTTTAATTGGACTTAATATTAGTTATAAAAATATATCTGGAAATTTTATACTAAAATAATATACATGGTGTTACATTTGAAAAATTGAGTAAATTGATCTTAAAATAAGCCATATTTAAGACACATTTCTACCTAAATTATGATAATTAAATTTGGCGTCTGCATCATTCTGAAACTTCACAAAATCATTAATTGCTTGGCAACTCTGTAATATTTTTTAAAAATATTTTAGCATTGAATACAGTATTACTATACCATTCTAATACTGAAATAAAATTTCAAATCCATGTAACTTTTATTTCAAACTTATTTGTTTGCGTGTCTATAACACAAATTGAAATATTGAGCAATTGCGCACTAATGGGACACCCTGTATATAATTTAAATATTCGGAATAACCTATTAACATAGGTGCTCTGGAAATCAAAAAGATAGATTTGCAAAATAATCCATTGATGTATGTAGTACCTCTATATCCTATCCAATTACTATTTTCTACTATTTTTCATTAAGTCATCTTGAAGAATTTAATTTCACTTCCAATAATTTTTTTACTACATAAGGTAGGTATAAGCTCGGGTATAAGTACATGGATAGAAAAGGTCATATTTTACATCATTTTTATTCTAAAGGTTATTTTATTATGTAGGATTTTACTCATAGTAATCTTCCTCAAATTGATTTTTTTGAATAATTACTTTATAATGAATTTATATGCTAAATCAGAAACGCCTTTGGGGTAACACTTTTTAATATTCCATAATTGTCCATCCTGTATATAGGTATACACATGAGTTATCAGATTTATTGATTTTGATAAAGTAATTAACTAAACAAGTAATTAAATTAATAAAATACCACATAAAATTCATCTCTAAAAATATTTGTAGTCGTCCAAAAATTCTAAAAGCAATTAAAATTGTAATTTTATTTTGTATAGGTACCTATACATTTAACTCAGTAAATGTTTAATACATTTAGGTTTTTGGTATATTATTATAATAATAAATTATCAAAGTCGATGGGTGCTCCTTGAACACTATATTATTTTCTACCAGAGTAATTAGATAGGTAATATGCTTGGAGATACCTAAATATTTATAATTCATAAAACTGATTTTTATTAGGATGTGTCATCATACATATTATATTAAAAATAGCAGTTAATATAGGAAAATTATTTTTATAAACAAGCAACAAAATTAAAGTTATTTAGATACCTATAAGTTTTCACTGACATCCTGTAAAAGCAACACCCACAATGAAAAATTAATTTTATGAAATAAAACTGAATGACAACTCACTTGTGTTGATGTAATTAATCCTTAAGATCCTGCAGGAATGTGTGTATCACAAATATTTCGTGCACATTTATTAAATAATACCGAATTTATTAAAATAAATTCGCGTACTCAGAGCACACACTATTGACTGACCGGCATTGAGGCGCGCTTGCCATTTATTCGCCCTCAGATATGGTTCGTTGTCAGATGATGAATTTCCACCAATCGTTCAGCAGCGTGAAACACTCGTGGTTTTCGGATGCAGCGCAGAAAAGTTCTTTCACTCGTTTTCGATGCTCGTTTTTGATGATTGATCGCTGCGAAGCGACGACGTTGTCAATACTGAAAAAAAATATTTGAAACTACTGAAAATCAAGTTGGTATGAAATTTATTAGTTTTATCAGAGACGAATTATCGATCGATCATCCAATGTCGAATAGACGCTATTTTAGGAATTGAAGTGTTGATTCTTGACTTTGTGACAAAGTATTCATTATCAAAAACTTTTTATTACAATTTAGATGTACAAAATGTAACACGTGTCTATACCTATTATATGTCTATATATGGACCTTTTAAAAGTCTACTATTTAAAAGTATTCAACCATAAGATAGGTATATTAATTTAATTATTAGCGCCTACGTTTGTTTTTAAAAATATATTCGTGACTATATGTTTAATTCCCACCTTTGGTCCATCTTATATTGTTGATGGATAGGTACTTTGGTCATTCTATAAATGCCCCTGAGTAAATTCGTGGTCGGTCTAGGCTTAATAGTGCTTGTCTACTATCTGTATAGTATAGATGAGCATATTCCTTCGAGTGATATGGTTAGTGGTGATTCTTTTTGTTGCTATGAGAATCCTCGTGAGTTCGATTTGAACTACACTGGCACTATTGTTCACAGCCCATTTTATGTTTATATGTTTAGGGATCTGGAGTAAATTCCATGTCTTGAGCCTTGTTTTCTTTTAGAACCGTCGGTGTAAACATGCGGTTTATTCAAGAGTCCAAATCCGTACATAACCACCAGACGCATGAACAGTTTTACATTGAACGTTCCGTCAAATTTAAAATCAAATACCTGATTGTAAGTCCAGTTTTCCAAGAAATTTTAAATTTTTTAATTAGGTACGATATATTAGACGAAGAGTCTGTAACAAAAAGTGAAACAGTTTTAAGATGGTTCAAAATTTAATAATAGTGTATATAAATATTCCAGATTCAGCAGTTTTATTTGCGGGTCACCTTGCGGCAGCACATCTTGAAAGTTGTCGAAAATTAAAGCATACTGAAACTGTTTGACCAAGGTTCAAATTTTTACTGTTTATAGTTTTTACGTTAATAAATATAAAAATGCCAGTAAGACATCAATCTAATATAGAGTTGCCATAATAGTTTAAGTACTGACTGACATAACAAATCAGTTTCAATAAGAAATCATAAAATTAAACCCTAAAGACAGAGACACATTGTTCTAACTTGCTACGCTATACGTGTGTCTTTTTTTCCACCGGTTTGTTGGAATCGTTTTTTCGCCGATGCGGCCTTGAACGCCTTTTGTTGGATTCGATTTATTTATGGTTGACCGTTGAAATAAATAACAGTTGACAATTTGGATTAAAATTTGTGTTTATAATTTTATTTGAATGTACCTATTTACTTTAATTTGTACGTATATATTTTTTGGTTTTCCCACAAAAAAACAAATAATTAATAAACTCCTTTAATTCTGATTAATTCCCGCAATCCATAGCTGTCAGTTGTCACATTTAATCGGAAAAACCGTACATTGAAATGATGGAATGGTGTTGCATCGATTGCATCAACGTTGGATAAAAAGACAGCGCTGTTAGTTCATCATTGATAGATTGATGAGATAAGAGACAGGTAGATATCGCACCGATGCCAACGTTGCTGCAACAGTTGGATAAAAAGACACACGTTATGCCATAACATCCGACAAGATGTATGCTCACTGTTTCCATTCCACATGATACCACGTTACCACAGAATAACCTACCTATAGGTAGGTTATTCTGTGACGTTACATTACTAAATTTTAAACTATATTTGAATGCCGAAATACTAGACAATAATAATGTAGGAAGAATGCTGTCAAATGTCATTGTTCCAAAGTTTGGAGACATTTTTGGAGGTTACAGGACAAGGATTTTTTTTTCAGTGGTGGACATCTTATTTCAATTGCATATATGGCACCTCTGTCAACATTGTTAACACATTCTTGGCATTAAATTACGCTCTAATATTTCGGCATTCGACTATAGTAATGAATCAGAAACCATGGAGAATAGTAGTTCTTCCAATGAGTGGGACTAAAAAATTGAATTTACAGCAATTTTATTAGTTTCAGAAAAAATCAAACAAGTCGAGATTCACACACGTCGGACTGCGTCGCGTGGGGTGGCATGGGGATAGCATTAAATCATGCTTTCGACCGTTTCTAATTGAAGGCGATTGCATTCTTTAGTCCACAAGCTTGTCACTATCCGGTCATACGCTACATGCAATGCAATCATGGGTCCATCTTGATTGGACAGCACCCAGGATGGTTTTATCGCGTATTGAAACAAACCTAATAAAACCTGAATGTTATCAATATTTTTACCACCTTTCTTGTTATAAAATATGTACCGAAAAAACTGGTCTCCTACAGTTTTGACTATGTATAGTTTTTACGTTAATAAATATAAAAAAAAATCAGACCTCACAATAACAGGACCGGCCGCGCCAGCTTCACTACTAACCCGTAATAATTAGGTTAGTATAAATAGTTTACTAGCGCCATACGGACGCACCGTGTTCTATAACAAGAAAGTTGGTATTCGCCTACTCTCTTTTTTTTTTTAGTTTTGTCGGCTGCTGACTGGTCAAGTCCTATTAGATTGAGGTGTGACTGGCATTTCTATATATATTTATTAACGTAAAAGCAATAAATAATATAAAATTAAACCTTGGGAAAACTCTTTCACTTTTTGGGCGCTTGGACTACATAAAATGTAAATATTTACATTAGGATAACTAATACGCCATATTAGTGTGACGCAATTCTGGTTCCACTGACAATTATATTCTAACCAAACTTTTAACAAAAACATATTGAATTTGACATAATATACGTTTTTGCAGGTTTTAGTTTTATCTAAATATTGTCTGTAAGTCATAAAAAATAGTTTAAAGGTAGGAATGTAATTGGTAACTAATTAATAATATAATAATTATACTCTCCCTAATTCACCCTCTTACGAGTGAATTTCCCCTGAAGTCGACTGAGCGACTTGTGTAGGGGAAGGGACAGTTATTATTATTATTTGCAGTGGCGCTCAAGGGCGACTTAAAGATGATTGATGTTGCCATTTAACTTACAGGTGAGGAAAACCCGGAAAACCCCACCCACCATCATCGAAACGGTGACGCATGGCGATGTTTATAATATGGATGTCATATCAACAGTAATTAAATTTCTGCTAATACGGCATCCATCCAATCCTATAGAGAACCATTCAAATAAATTCAGATGGTCTTCTGTAAGATTCAAAGCCGGGTGTATCTCAACAACAAAATTACTCGCAAATGAATTTGAGCACCTAAGCCGCAATTCACATTGAACCGACGCCGTCGTAGGCGAGGACGTGGCAAGAACGGGACACGGACGTGGCGAAGACGTCACGTGTTATTTGAAATTAATGGCTAAATGCATACATTTTAGTTAGCTTTTCTCAGTTTAATGTGTTTCAATTTGGCGTGAATACGTTATTTTAGTTGTTTTATTCATTTGCGATTGTGTTTTAGTTTTTTATTACGTTAAGAAGTATTGCAAACAACCATCAATCACAAGTGCAACAATTCTGAATGATCTTAACACGTTGAAGGACAGTAAACATTTTTACAAGATACCAATCTAGGCAGTACAGTTTTTTGCAAGAAAACTAATTTTTAAGCATTATTATTTATAACTATTTTTGTCAGTACATCACTATGAAGACTAGAGATAAGCAGTCGAATCGGCATATTCAAAATACGGTCCCAAAAAACGCATGCTAATTGAGCTTCTATTATTAACCGCATGGGCGCTGGTACTGCAAACGGTGTTCAAAATACATGGCTTCTTATGGGAATTATACATAATTTGGTCAAAATGATAAAAATAAACTTGTTTATAGCTAAATAAAGCACAGAACATACTGTTGTATTTATTTCTAAATAAGTCTTGCATGTTTTAATTGATAAATTATTTAATTTTATCTATATAAAATACAAATTAGGTATGTATGACCAAATTCGAAAAGGTTTCTTAAATGCTGAAAGTACAATTTTGTGGCAATTTTTTTTTTTTTTAATTTAACCAATATGTAGTTTTAAGAGTAAAATAAAACACATGGTATTACCTCATCCTTTAATTTCAGCTTTTCCCTTTTTATTTTGCCAACTGTACTATCAGTAAAAATAGTCACATAATATTTGATATCTTCTAAAAAGTATAGAACAGCATCATCTCTAGAAAGTGCTTTATCGGCACTAGGAACGATATATATGCTGCCACTGTTCTAAGCGTTTAGTATCCTATAAAAAACATTTACAATGACACGATTGGGATACAAAAAAAAATAACAGTAGCAACTATTTATCTAACATTAAAACTTTATAAAAAATAAATTTTCTTTTCTAATAAGGTAAATTTAATGCATAATTATTGTTGTTTGTAAGTCAGCATCTATGACTGTAACATTTTATAATCAGAAGACGCATATCAGCGTTGTGTCACATCACAACTTCAGAAAAAGGCGCTGTTCTGCGTCTTTGTCCTTCAACGTTATAAGAATTAAAATTTTATTGTGTTTACTGGAAAATGTTTATTTATTTTACTTATTTATTTTAAAATTTTAGGTCGTTACAGGGCAACTGTTTATTGCATTAGATTTGCCTATGATCACGACCGACGGCAAGGAAAAGAATATGTTTATGACGAACCGGTAAACACAAATTTGGAGGCACTACGCTGGAATGGTTTAGAAAATTTAGCCGGTTTTATTACATTCAAAATGAGAAAAAAGAGAAACTTGGTTATATTCCAGACTGTAACGACGATTCATTTTTTTGGGTTTCTTATTTAAGAAAAAGTGGCTTACAAAAGTCCACTTGTTGAACTTGTAACATTGGCAACGCTGATATTATTCGTTTCCTGATCCCACTAATGCTAACTCTCTGTAGTTTTCTATTGATAGCCGATACTATTAGGGAAGTATATTAGCATTCTTGATGCCTGTTATTATGTGTTTAATGTCATTTTCTGGTTGCAACTATTA